CCTATTCATCCTATAAGCTTATTACGAGCTTTCCCCTATGTCCTAGGGTGACTTTATGACGCTGAATTGTATTCCCATTCATCTGTTTAGCCCTTGCAGGCCAAACTTCCAGTTTCTGCTGCACATCCTGCTGCTCAAAGCACATGAGGCAATTTCATGTGCATGGAGTTTCATTACTAGGGCCCAAAGGTGATGGAATTGTCTCTAATGGTGAAAGCTGCTTTTGAGAGAAAAAGAAGAAAAATGGGAGAAAGACAGAGAGACAAAGGGAAAATGGAAACTGTTGGCAGCAGCCAGCAAAGCCAGGAGAAAAGGAGGAACAAGGGCAACAGGCTGTGGCTTTGCTGAAGGGACCAGAGCTGCTGCTGCAGGGCAGGCACAGGTCAGGGCATCTCAGGCACTGCCCAGCTGCCCCAGAAAACACCCCAAACCCTGTTCATAGGTTGACAAACATGTAGCAGCATCAGAGTTACACCAGTCAAGCTTGGTGTCCAACTGCTGACACTACACTGGTGCCACAGAAGCCCAGTGGTGGCTCTGGCCCCACTCATCACCAGCCTGAAGCCAGCTTAGTCCAAGAAACACTTCCCTTTTTGCTTTGGGAGTGAATCTATTAAGCTATTCTGAAAGACCAAACTCTATTTATGTTTCTTCTTGTCTACTTTTAAATCTCCATCAGTATGTGCAAGACTTGTTTTTAAAACACTATTACCCCACAAATGCCATTTATACAAATTGTTAAACAAGACTTTCATCCATCTTAAATTACGATACACCATCACAGAGGTTTCCACATCATACCTTCCACAAAGCCTGAATTAATAAACTCACAAAATCAATCCAATAAGACAGGCAAGCAATGAGTATCATTCCTGTAAGTACTATATCACTAAAATATATTTTCCTATTTCATTAAAGCACACTCTTAAGAATACAACTATTTGCACTGTTTATGCTCCTCTCATCCTCTGAGGCTGCTGAGAAAAGCTTGTCCACTGGTGGGAACTGGAGGAATAAGATTGCCTGACCCAGTGCTGATTATTCAGCACTGACTTCACTTCCAATAAAAAGGGAAAAAAATAAACCTATTAAACCACTTTAAAAATTGCAGAGAGCATTTTTAACCTCTGTCCTTTTGCATTACTGCACCAGTGCCTGGAAAAGCTACAGCAGGAGAGAGAAAGTCATTTAGGCAGCTCCCTTCGTGCCACCACCATGGCTCAAAGGGACAGAAATCAAGAAACATTAGAATCAATATAAGCCGATTAGGACATTAAGGAAGAACAAACCATGCAGAACTTAAACAAAATCTGTTACAAGGCATGGAGAAAGCAGACATTTAAGAGTAGAAAGTAACTTATTTTCTGCAGATACTCCAGATTTTGCATTTTGCACCATCATCTGGTGGTACTTAGTGCTGGGATAAGCAACAAGCAGGCTTCCAGCTGAAACACAGGAGTGCCCATTTGACATGAAATACCTACAAGGACTACCACAGTCTAATCCTAAAGATCTGAAGAGAATTGATGTTTTTTTCTATACACACATCTAAATCACACTCATACTCGAATGGAAAACATGCTCTACTAAAATAAAATCAAATCAGAACCTGGGACTGAAAGTGTGGTCCAGTTACCAACAAAAGATTTATTCTCACTCTTTTTTGTCATTCTCCAGGACAAGGTGGTTTACCTTAAGCTGAGGTTTGCCATTTACAGGCATACAATAAGGCAGTTAGGTGTTCTCATTCTTTGGAGCAGCTACCGACCTTAGCCCCTGGTGATCCAGCATTCAGAAATGCCCCATCCATGGCAGGGAAGAGGCAGGATGCACACAGGATGTCCCCAGCTGTGTGTCCCAGAGAAATGGCAGCTCCCTGGGCACCGCATCCTAGTGCTCTGCCCTGGCATCCTCAGCTGAAGGAGGATGAGAAGCTGCAGCTCCTTGGGCCAGAGACCTGCCTGCAGTGACTGTACACTACAGCTCAAATAAAGCAAATAATACCCCAGGAAAAAGCAGAGAGGAGGAGTACTTTATTGGATCCAAAAATCCTGCTAGGGTATGGGCTGTCTGCTGCATGGGGCTGCACCACTCTGATCCCAGGGCTGTCACTCCCCACTTGCAAACAGGGCTGGTGGGCAAAGGAGGGAAAGAAGGTGCCCTTTGGGAGCTACAGCCTCCAAGTCAACTCACCTGACTGAGCAACCAGCACCACAAACTCCCAAATGTGTGCACCTAAAGCTCTGTGCTGCAAATCAGTGCTAACACTATCCCTTTCTCCTGCTTGGGGGAACCATGTCCACAAGTCTAGAAGAATGGGAAGGACAACAAGCACATCAGAGCCAAGCAGGCAGGTGCAGACATGCAGTTACAGAAGGAATGAGTCTCCAGCCTTCTGTTACAAGTAAAAAAATATATTTGAGAAACCACAATGGCAACAAAGCTGCATCAGATGCGCAACTGGACAAGAAAGAAAAGCTCTCTGAATTTGTTCAATTGTTTAACTTTCCAGATTTGGTAAGGGTTCCCCTAGATTACTTCAAACTAGACATTTTCCTGCTATTCTTAAAACCACCCCACTGAATTACTAAATGAGATTAGATCTCAGCAAAAAAAGGGGGTTTTTTTCTTCAAGATTCAGCAGCTAACTGCAAATGAAAGCAAAAAGAAAAGCCTGTCTTGTGATGAAAGGACAAGTAAAAGAGCAATCACATCAGAAAACCAATGCCCAGACTCTAAACAGCAAAGCAATTGCATGTGTCAAGTTCCCACAACAAGATGGTGCCAGCTAAGGCTTATGTTAAAACTGTGCAATACAATTAGATGTCTGGAGCCTCTGTCAGACAAATGATGCTATCTCATTAATGGGATTACATAGAAAAATTGGAGGGATTTCAGTCAAGAGGAATAAAATGATTAAGGATCAAAAAAGCGTGACTCATGAAAGCAAGTAGAAACTGGATGCGGTGCTCTTGCCTGAAAAGCCCAAGAGTCAGAACCAGACAGGCCTGGTGGTACCAGCAACACCACAGCATCTCCTGCCTCACACCCAGAATAACAGGAATTGATCAGACCTGCCAGTGCAAAAAATCAAATTATAAAATTCTAGCTTTTTTATGGCAACGCTACTGTTGTATCAGTCAGCAAAAAATGAATAATCGGAGGGGAAAGAGGACAGGGAAGTTAATTACCTACTAACAGCTGGCAGGGAGACCACATTTAGTCAGAAAAAAAGAGGGGGAAAAAAGGGTTGTGACTGGGTAAAATTGAAGCCTTTCAGTTATTAATAGGAGAGAATTTCTTAGCCACGGGAACAACATACACATGGCAGGTACTGAAAATCACAACAGCTGGATCACCTGAAGAGAGCCTGGCCACTACCCCAAAACCACCATCATTGAACTCCAGCACTGACAGGAGGCAAACTAGCTATAGGGGAAGGGGAGAAGGAGAAACAATGCAAGAAGGAAAACAGGGGTGTTGTGCTAGATGTTCCCTAGTCAGCACTACTATGCTATTCTGCAGCAAAAATAAATGAATAAATAAAAGAGATCTAAATATAGAATGAGATTCTCTTCACTGAGGGGTTCAACATCTCTGCAATTTTTTTCCAATTGAAGGACTTTAAGTTGAATAAAAAGCTTCATTTAAATTCTATACACATTCACAAAGATAAACTGATTTCAGAAAGCATTATTATGCCTGACCTCTCTCACTGGGGGTGAAAGCCAGATACTTTGTGAACCATTTTGATTATACTAATATTCCCTAAAAATTCATTAGGTGTCAACATAAAGGACAAAAAGCACCACCATGGAAGAGCAGATGCTGTGAGCTACCATACAAAGCATATTAGGGTTGCTTCCCCTGCATTCCTCTGCATCAGCACAGGGCAGCTCTGCTTCAACACCCAGCAGCACAGTCCTGTTCCTGGCTATTGTGACAGGCAAAGAGTCAAACACTTGGGAAATGACACTTTCCAAGAAGAAACATTGCTGAGGAAGTGCCAGGCCTGGGGGTGCCCAAGTAGAGTATGCCAAGAGAAGCAGGGGAAAGCAATTTCTTCCAACCCCACTTCACTCACATCTGATCCCCCAGCAAGGAGGAGTGTGTGTGCACATGTTTGTGTAGACACTGTGGCAGGGAACATTTAATTGCACTTTGGATCTTATCCAGCACACATAGCATCCAGCAACAGTTCTCCTGGAGTTAACACTTTACAGAGCAGGGGAGTTTGAATTCCAGTTCTCTCCATTTTCTCCAAGACCCTGGAGGGCAGGTGGACACTCCCTACAGCTGGCAGCCAGGCTGGGTGAAGGGGAATTGGCTGCCAAGCCCCCAGCTGGCAGCACAGGCCAGACTGGTACCCAGCTCAGTCTGCCCGTGGCTCTGCAAGGCCGGGCGAGCTCTGTGATCAAGGAAAATGACTCCAAGAAAAGATGCAAACAGAGCAGATTTGTTTCCTATTTTCATATGGTTTCTTACCACAGAAGAACACACTCGAGGCCCTTAAGTGATTACACTTTTTAAAAGAGGAATAGCCTTTGCAGAAGCTCTGCTTTGATGTAACAGGGCAGATTGATCTTGTTGCTTAACCATATCAAGTAAGTCTCCTGCCCCCCTTTTTCCTTTTTTTTAATCTTAAAAACCCCAAATAAACAAAGAAGTAAACCCAACCAAACTAACCTCGAATTTTAAGCTGCAGCACTAGCCCTTACAGAAAAAATGTCAGTGTTTACAACCAGCAGTTCATCACAGGCTATTAGAAATCCTCCACAATTTGCATCATGACATGTAACCCAAACCTTTTCCTCCTGAAACCCAAAATTTCTGGTCAGAAATGCTCAATGACTTTTTTGATTCAGAAACTTTATAGTATTAGTAGCAGTTGATGGAATTTCCAGCATGGTGTTGGTTACTTGGAGCTCTTTAGAGCTCTCACAATCACATGAGACACCTGCACAAGTGGTGTCAGTCCCTCAGTTTACATTTCTGAGTACCTTGCATCCAGTGTGAGTCCGGGTCTTCATGAGGGGAGTTGTGGTGCACAGCTCAATGGCTTCTGGTTCATGGAAGATCACTGTCGGGAGAGGCTCTTTACGAAGAGTTAGGACATTCAACTTAGTCTTTAACATGGTCTGAAAGTGCTAAACAGAAAAAGAAAAGAAATTACCTCCAGTTCTAGTGCAGAAAAATGAGAGTTAATAATTGGATGTGTCTGCATGTTTTACTTGCTGTTCAACGCCTCACAAGCTATCCTGGGGAAAAAGTTCTACGACTTAAGAGCACTCATTACTATCAGCAATGTGGAAACTATTTTTAATTAAAAAATACACACACAAAGTGAAAGAATTCATTACAATTCACATATTCTCCACAAAGGGTCTAAATTCAACCTCTGGTCAATTGCAATTATATAATAAAGTAGTTCCACTACTAATGTCCACAGAGAGGAAGAACAGGGGATCAAAGATCATGAAAAGATTTTGTTCTCCTTCCTCTGTACTTAAATCTCATCCCAGTGACCTTTGTAGACGTTACCGTTCCCACTGAGCCGTTACCAATGAGCTGAATCCCTCACTGGTTTACCTTTGTCCTGTGAATTTTATATTCTCTTCCTTTGTAAGCAATAGTTCCTGTAGCTCCCAATGTAAATGTCACTCTTGGTATCATTGAATAGATGTCACTCAAAACTTGTCACTTTCTTAAACAGACTCCCCAGACTTAGGTGAAGTACTATCCAAGAGGACAGTAAAATCATCAAATTAAAAGTTTCTCAGCAATTGCTTAGAGTGAGTAAAGTCAATTCTCGAAAGACTTCCACATCAATTTTGTGGAATCGGGGAAGTCAAGTGAATTTTTTTTATATATAGATGTTTCTTTGAACTGCCCTTCATTTGAGAAACTGAACATTTTCACATGCAACTACTTATCTAAGGGAGAAAAAATGCAGACATGAGCAAATCAAGGTAGTAACATGCCACGGCACTGTCTAGTGAAATATGACTTTATCAAAACTTCCTAAGGTGACTCTTATCAAGCAGCAGTTTTTAGACATATGTGCAATGACTCCAGATTACTTTCATCAAAACTAAACCATTTGTTCTGACTTTTGATAGGAGATTCTTAACTTGCTTTGCAGCCACTCCTTTTCTCAGTCTCCACTTTACCTCTGCAAGGCAGACAAGCATTACAGGGTCTGGCTTGCAGAAAAAGAGATGCTAAGTGATTTCCCAGAACCATGCAAGAAGTCTCTATCAGAGCTAGAAATCAACACAGGTCCTTGTTGCTCAGTCCTGTACTTTAGATGAAGAGAGTGTCTATTCAACATTTTATTTATACACAGGGGATGAATCAACTATTTAGATACTATGCTGGTTTTCTATGGATTTTTTGTGGATATGAATATTCCTTTGAAAATAAACTTGCTACCAGATCATAAATACTTTATCATGTGCCAACTGAAAACCTGTTGATACACTTTTGTAACAGTTCAGTCCTTAGTTCGTCAGTGTTTAGGTCTAATAATTGTTATGCTACTGGAAGTACAGCACTTCAAACACTCTTAGAAATATATTCAAGGCATATACTCTAAGAGTCTGTGAAAATAGTACTTGTTTACCTATTTCACACATGAAGTTACAGCCTGCTAACAGCAATACTTTAGGGCCTCTGTGGTGTTTGTGCAAGCATTCAAGTTTTCACCCCAGTGAAGCGCTCTACTCATACTATTTTTCACCTGCTCATCTCCTCATAGTACACGTTACCCCGTTCACTCCCCCAAACACAGCTCAAGCAAAAAAGTACTCCATTTAAGATTATTATACACTAAAGAATACCCTCTGACATGTTTCTGAAGATAACAGACCTCTTTGACAGCCAGGATTACTAAACTGACTGAGAAAACCTACTTCATTTTACCTTTAGGTTGCAATTGACAGCCTTTTGTTTGGAGTTTCCTAGGCCTCTCCAGTGGAGCTGTTAGCAAAGGCTGAACAGCAGGTAAAAAGCCATGGTGGGTACAAAACAAGTGGAGTGTTTGAGATGCTGTGTTTGAAGGAGCATCACGGATTATCAGCTGGGCTGGCTGGTCCCACTGATTAACTGCTGCCTACTACAGCTTGACTTGCTTTTACTTATAGGCTCTAGGTCTGCTAACCTGCTGCTGAAGTTGTATTTCTGGAAGAGAAAAAATGGAGAAGGCAAAGAGTGCTGGAGCTCTGACACAGCCAAGCACAGGTCACAGCGATTTCCCCTGCAAACGATCCCTTTTCAAGCCTGGGGTAATGCTGCCTCCAGGGCTTTCTGCTATGTCTTGTGCATGCAGGGGGATGGGAGAGGTAGACAGAGATGAAAAAAAATGATCTATTAAGGTTAAGTCGTACTGTTTTCTAAGTGAGCAGATTTTGGATCAACAGGAATAATGGTTGTGAAATAATCAGGTTGAAGAACCTGTCCTAGCATTTAACTTTTCCCTCCCGAGTGCTGAAAGAGCTCTGTTTCCACAAATGATCAGTTTACAGGACTTCTCCAGTACAGAATGGTGCTTCCATTCGACAACAGATGTAAAAAAACTCCATTTAGCCCTCCTGAGCAGCGAACCTGGACCTGCAAAATGGTTGTTCTACTCTGCTAACATCTCTATAAACTTCAATGGGACTACTGACAGAAAGGGCACAAGTTGACCAAAATGAAGAAAACTACAGAAATGATCTTTTTTTTTATGTTGTAACAACCACATATACAATCTTAAACAAGGAAAAGCCTACTCTGTGCCTTACAAAGGCAATTCAATACTTGCATGAGCAGCAAGTTGGAGCGGTTGGGTGCCAAAAACACAAGAGCACAATTGGCAGCAAACAGCTGATCAGCTGCCAGAGAAGTGCAGAAAGGACTGGGGGTGGACACAGAAATAGCCTTTGCTTCGGCCCACAGGGCTAATGCAGACCACGCTGTGCTCCCTGCACAGGTCATGTGATGGCTGCCATAACAAAATCAAATCTCTGCCAGCAGACATCACACAGGGAACCCCCAAATAAGCACGTTATTTAAACACGTGCCTAACTTTCACTATGTGAGCAGTCACAGTAAAGCACACGTGGGTAGTCAATGGGATTATTCATGTGCTTTAAGCCAAGAACAGGATAAAGTGCTTTGCTGAACCCATTTCTTGGGTTTCCACTCCAAACTGGCATCTCCTGCAGAAACTCTTGGCAAAAGTTGATCTATAACAATAGCCAATGTATTTTTTGAGAAGACGCATTCACTCTCCACTGCTGTGAACTCAAAATATTTCTTTAAAGTGCTTTAAGTTCACAAAGTTCTTGAAAAGCACGACTTTGGCAATCCGGTGAATAAAGTTTCAGGGAACATTATACCATTCACGTTTCATGTGCCACAACCACTAGGTTCATTTGGTGGCTCTTATACTGAAATTCATCATCAGGAGATATTCGTAGCTGGCATGATTACACCAACAGCTCAAAACTAAACATCGCTCATTCTGTACCCATTTAGATAGTGCTACTGATATGACTTTATATTTGAAAGAAATACAAGGAGTAACATAAGAAATGAAAATACCTTAAATGCCAAAGAAAGCAGTCCTGTAATTACCAGTCCTGTAATTAGCATTGTATTTTACTAGCTGCTGAACATTACATCATTCAGAGCAAAATTTAAGTAATGCTGACAATAACACTGGACAATTATCTCAATTCAAATCCATAGTTTTGCTTGTTCAAGGATTCAAGTTCCATCAGTTTATTTTGCTTAGTTTACCCATCTTAATGGCATCCTTTCCCCCTGCAGAAGAAATCCAAATGGTGCACAACTGGTAGCCCAAACCCATAACTGGCTAAGACTCACTACAGAGGTACTGCCTCCTTGGTGACCTCAAAGTGCTCCCTGTTCCAATGAAAACCCTGCCATCACTAACATGCTTAGCTACGGTTAACTGAACATAAGAATCAAGAACTTCTATGTTGTTTAACATATAGTCTGTTATCAGCTCAACAGTCACACATTAGCTCTAGAATAACTAGTTCAGAACATTCAACTTGCAAATTTTACGTGCTGCATATTTAGTTCAGGCACAATTTCTGTTGCAGTTAAAACTAAAAATTAACAGCATGTGGGTTTTGGTTTAGTTTGTCAGCAAGAATACAGTCACTACCAGAACTCAGGCCAAATATCTTGGAGAAAATAACTATGATTCCATGCAAGGAAACATGACTTGGAGAAAATTATGCACTGAAATTTGTAATAATAATGCTCTTCATCTTCAGGTCTTGACAAAACAGTCACTGCTGTTCACAACATTGAGTATTCAGCAGCCAAGCCTAGTGGATCGGATCTTTAATTTTCCTGATGGAAATAAAGGCCCAAACTCAAAAAATCTAAGAAAGGGTTATATAGTGGATAGGAGTATAAAAATAAATGTCAAGAAAGAGGGGACTGTAACGCCTTGTAACCTCTGATCCAACAACAGGAATTGAGCAAAATAAATACATTTTACAAGTTGACTGGGTTGCAACATGGTGATTGAAAGAAAAGTTTTCAGCACCTTAGCCCTCATCCCCCATTCTCTCTTAACGTCAGCACTACAATCAACACATGACTGCCTAAAGTGGCATCACATTTCCAGATGACATGTACTTGGTCAATTTCGCCAAAGATGCACATTGAATCCAAACCCAAAAATGAGAGGATGTTAACTTGTGAAAAAGAGTTATTCTAAAAGTTCAGACTCTGCCAGAACAAGAAGCAGTCCTCTGGGTAATTCATCTTTCTACAGCACCTACAAAGGAATTCCCACATGAAATCCATGTTTGTGCATCAGCAAAAGATGAAGGGAAATTAAAAAATAGTATCTATAATCCACTATTTCAGCACAAATACCTCTCTACCTCTGAAACCCATTTAGTCTTGAATGAACCCAGAATTTTTCAACAGCATCCTACAGCAAGGAAAAACAGCCTAGGAGAGGAAAGACACAACCAAGTGAATGGAACTGCAAGAGAATTTTAGAAAGTACAAAGGTTCCTTTTCGCCTTCTCCCAGTGGAATCTGACTACCAGCACGTCCAGTCTCTAGGTACAAGAGGAGATGACAACACAACAGACCTTTAGCACTGTGGCTACCCCAT